GAGATGAGGTCTCGCTGCCCAGGCAGGTCTCGACCCCGCGGGATCAGGCAATCCACTCACCTCAGCCTCCCAAAGGCGCGGAATTACAGGCTGAGCCACCGTTTAAAAGAAAAAAAAAAAACGAAAATGTTCATGAAGGGCTGGGCACAGTGGCTCATGCCTATAATTCCAGCACTTTGGGAGACTGAGGTGAGAAGATTGCCTGAGCCTACAGGTTCGAGTCCAGCCTGGGCAACTTAGCGAGACCTCATCTCTACAAAAAATCAAAATACTAGCTGGGCTTGGTGGTGCATTCCTGTAACTCCAGCTAGTTGGAAGGCTGAGGCGGAAGGATCACCTAAGCCCAGCAGGTTGAGGCTACAGTGGCCACGAGTGTGCTACTGCACTCCAGCCTGGGTGACAGAGTGTGACACTGAATCAAAAAAAAAAGAAAACAATGAAAAAGAAAATGCTCATGAAATCCTAGCTACATTGTACTTCCACCTCTTCACACATAGGGCATTCACCTTTGGATAACTTCTGACACTTTATCTCAAAGAAGCTGGAGGGATTCTCAGCTCTCCCATGCTGTAGAAATCGTGGTGAATTCTGCAAATCTTCATCAATGACCTTTGATACAGTACCTATTATAAAAGCAACATGCAGCATTTACAGTGATCAAAGTACAATGCTAAAGTCAGCAGGGCTACCCTACAGGAGTCTATTTCAAAACTCTTGACAGCCATGGCTGTTGGGTCATTATGGTGCTGTTTCTGCCTTGGACTTCTCTCAGGTCTGCATGCATCTACATGGAGTTCTTACATCTACCCCAGTCCTGGATTCCCCAGGTTCCTTGGAAGTCCTCAACCAAAAATGTGAGATTTATCCATCCCCTCTTTTATTCTCCATATACATTCTTGTTCCTCAATACTTCTTCATATCTAACATCTTTCTTTACCCTCACAATCACCACTTTAACTCATCATCTTGAGGCTAGACTATTATAATTGCCTCCCAGGTAATTTTTCTATTTCCTGCAATCTAGAGTCCATAGACTCATAAGAGGACCATGTATTGGCTTTTTCCAAAATTGTATCCATATGTGGTATTATGAATGCACTAAAATGTTAGAGGTCCAGAATAATATAAATAAGTGCCATATTTAGACTCTGGTTGGTTGAGTTGCAATTGTATTGGAGCAGGGCTGGTACTGATTGGTTTCTTTCTATTTCTTTTTTCTGTATTATTTCTCTTCATGGCATTTGTCACTTACCCTCCTAGACTATAGCTTCTTAAAAGGAATGGCCAACATTGTAGTCTACGTCACTGCTTCAGGAAGCACTAAGTAGAGGTCTTGACTATTTGGTTAATCAATGAATTGATATAAAAATTATGGAGCTGGGAAGTAGTAATGATTATAACTGAGTAAAATATATATAACAATGTTGGCATTTATCTGTTGATATACATAAGAATGAGCTTCAAAATCCATAGGCTATGGCCGGGCTCGGTGGCTCAGCCTGTAATCCCAGCACTTTGGGAGGCTGAGGTGAGTGGATTGCCTGAGCCAGGGTTCGAGACCTGCCTGGGCAACTTGGCGAGACCTCATCTCCACTATAAATCAAAAATAGCCGGGCGTGGTAGTGCACACCTGTAGTTCCAGTTATTTGGAAGGCTGAGGCAGAAGGATCGCCGGAGCTCAGCAGGTCAAGGCTGCGGTGGCCGGGAGTGGCCTGCACTCCAGTCTGGGTGATAGTGTGAGACTCCAACTCAAAAAAAAAAAAAATCCATAGGTTATTATGATTGGCAGGTGATATATAATTTGTAACTGCTTGGACTTGGTTTGTTGGTGTTAAATGCTGTGATCTGGAGGGTAAAATAAAGGAAGGTATGGGTGATAAATTAAGGAGGAGGAGTAAGAAGCATGTAATTTTCAGAAAAGACAGCAAATAATGTCAAAGATATCAAGATGAGTAAAAATATAAGTTCCCAGGGGTGATGTGAAAGGTAAAGATGTATAATTATTGTTATGTTTACTAGAAAAAATATAAAACCTATGAATTTACCAACAATAATATTTAAGGAATGAGTATAAATGGAGAGGAGTATGGTTTAAAGAAAAATACTGGGTAAAATATAGTAAGAGGTAATTAAAATATCAACCCATCCTAAAAGTATAAGTAAATGGCCATAGTCCAGGAGGTATAGGTTCAGGAAGTTGGAATAGCTCTGAGTCCTTATACCCAGCTCTGAGACTATAGCAAATTATATGCTCAGTTAATCTCAGCCTCTCCCTCTATACAATAGTTACTATCAATAAATATCATATATTTCTTATAAACATTAAATGAGGCTGCATTCAAAGGTAGAAGTGATTTGTAAACCATAAGAATCTGTAGAAACAGGATGGATGTGGTGGCTCATGCCCATAAACCCAGGACTCTGGGAGGTCAAGCCAGGAAGATTGCTTGGACCCAGGAGACCAGCCTGGTAACATAGTGAGACCTCGTCTCTATAAAAAAATTAGTTGGACCCTTACAATTCCTGAGATGCAGAAATGGAGCACCATTTTCTTTTCTTTTCTTTTAAATCAACAAACCCTCCCTGGGAGGAAAATGCTGGGAAAGACTGCCTAAGTGAGGGCTTGTGAGCAAATGGCCAGGCCCCTGGTACAACAGCTAGTGTTGCAGCTTCTTTGCTTTGTCCCTGACTCTTCCCAGGTCACAGAAGCCAAGTACCATTATTTTTTTTTAACAGACAAAGCAGCAGGAGAGAGACTGCCAGCTCCTGGCTTTGCCTCACCACTTCAGCGTCTGGCAGGGCACTGGCAGCAGGGGCTGTGGAGGGAGTCCAGAGGCAAAGTTCCATGGAAGAGGACAAGAGAGGCACCGCATCATCATCTCGAAGGTGGGGCAGGAAAATTCTCCGACTTGCTCACCATGGAGCACCAGACCCAATCTCTGTGACTGGTGGATTAACTACTCAGGGATTGATCATGATCCAGAGGGAATATCCTGAAAGCATGAACTTCGGAGGGACCTGACAAATATTAAGTTCCGGGCACCCCACCCCCTGCCCTGATCCAGCCGCGGGACAAAGGGTGTAGCTAAAAAAGGATGAGGAAGAACCCCAAAGAGATCAGTGAACAAATCCAGAGCCTGGATCAGGGAAGAATAAAGGACTGAGCAAACATCAAAAGGGAACTCCTCTCCCACTGACACTGAATAACAGAACTAAAGAGAAAAGCAAAAGATCTCTCACAAATGAGGAAAAACCAAAGGAAGACCTCAGGCAATTTCAAGTGTACCAAAGACCAAATTCCTAAAAAATTCAGACCTTGGTGCCCAAACAATGGAAGTCACTAATGACTGGCCTCAGAATATGA